ATTAAAAAAATTTAGGTAATTTTTTTTTTATATACAGGTTCTATAAAAAATTCTATCAAACTTTTAGTAGAGTTTATTCTATACTGAGAAGTTTCAAATTATTGACAAAATCATATTATATTTCTAATTTTATTTTATATCCCGATCCAATTGTCCTGGATCTCGACTCATCATCATTAACACAACACATCTTATTCAATAATATCATATAATGTAATTCAAGTGAAAAATTCGATTTAAACTATAAATATGCATGCTTAAATAGGTATTTAGAGTTACAAACATTAGATTAAAGTTATGTATTCAAATTTGCGAATTAATATTACATTTCAAGTTTTAGAAGATAAGTTCTTTAATTAGCAAATAATTTATACTATCAAAAGCAAAAGGTAACTAAACCAATATCACTCCTACCGTAACCTTGATGAATCTAAAAATAGAATTTAATGTGTACAAATAAATATAAAAAGATAGTAACAAACAATAATAATGACAAATAATAATCTCCATAAAATTTCTTTTGATACATAAAATTAGGCAAAAATCTCTTTTACAACATACATTTTCCATCTATTACTAATATCCATCTAATATCTTGTCCCATTTGCCGAGAATAATTTCATCTTAAAAATCTCAATACAATATAACGGTTTTTCGAACGTCATCTCCTTATAAATCAATTCTTACATGATACCAAGATATTCCTCTCTTTGTATCATTAGCTCATCTCATTCTTTTGGAATAACTAATCAATATTTCCCTTTTATTTTCTAGAAGGTAATTGACAACACTAATAAATCTTATTAGTACTATTATTCTTCCAATATTGGGTTAGACTAATCAATTATATTCATGTGCCGATATCGATACTGCTAATTGGTATCATTAACTATTCCTTCCCCAGAATAGTTAATCACATCTTATTCATATTTGGTTTACCATCAAAGTTACCGATGTCAAGAACCGTTGGCATCATTAGCCTCCTTACCTAAACTAGCTAATCACACCAGAAATAGTTGCCGATACTAATGTAACCCTTTGATATCATTAACTATTCTAGACTCGGAGTAGTTAATCAACTTATCTTTTTCACTGAACCAGGAGTAACCATGCTGATATTAGTAATCTTTTCTAACATCATTAATCACCTAATTGCTCGGGATTGAATAATCAATTAAAGAAATACTAGCACTGATAAAACCTCATCGATACCATTAGCTATCCAAACCTGGATAGCTAATCAATGTCATCTGAAATGCCGATACCAATGGAACCCTACTGATACCATTAGCTATTCAAACCTGGATAGCTAATCAATGTTATCTAAAATGTTAGTACCAATGGAACCCTATTAATATCATTAGTTATCCAAACCCGGATAGCTAATCAATGTCATCTGAATCATTCATTTAAACCGATCCCCTTTCATTTTTCTTATTAACATCATATGCATTATAACCACGGTTGCCAAGTATCATTCGCACACATTCTTAGTTATTGACACTATAGTCACTAATCATCATTCATATAACCTTGGTCACCCTTATCACAATACCAAGTATCAATTTATGCCCTAAGCCACCCTCATCATGGTGTTAATTATCATTGTAATGTATCCTTAGCCACCGGCACTATAGTGACCAATTATCTATCATTTCTTCTTCAATCTTCAAGCCATTATGTATACCCAATCCATACTAAGGTATGTAAGATAATTACATCTATTATAAAGTTATCATGGCTAATTCCATACCTATCAATGTAAGGTAATTGTATCTATCCTAATAATAACATAGTTAATTTGATATATAATAATGCATGCAAGGTACTTATATTCATTTAAACATTATCTTAACCAATGGAGATATACCATTGTATACAAGGTACTCTTATTTATTTCAATAATATCATCACAAGTTTGATATATATCAATATATGTAAGGTACTCATATCCATTTCAATTATATCATAACTAGTAGATACACATATAAACACACGAGGTACTCATATTTATTCCAATATTATCGAAGCAATAAAACAATAGATTCATAAATTTATCAATAAGTTTACATAATTTAAAAAGACAAGGAGCGATGTACCTACTTAGAGTATTTGCACGTGCTGTCACTCCATCTAATTGTTCAGTCCACACAACTTCCCCTATACCACCAGGGATTCAGTTTTTATCACAATACAACCAACATCACAACTTTATTTAATTCTCATTCAACTAGTATTCTCAAACTAATCACAAGGAATTTTCTTAGAATCTCTTTCTCTTACCCATTTTCATGTTCATATTCATTTTTATAAATTTGTTATTAAAACCATCACTTAATAACAATTCCAAACAAAGATTAAAAATTGTCTAATTTTGATCAATTTAGCTTAACCAACCTAGAACATATCTAGTGTTTTAATCATAACTAAAGCTGTAAAACTCAATTTTGGGCGTAATTTGTTTCCATGAAAGGCTAAAACATAGAAATACAACTTTTATGAAAAAATTAAGTTCAAATTATTTTGTTTTAAGGTTTAAAATCAACAATCACAATAGCCCTTTTTTTATAGCTAAAATTCTGGACAATGAGGATTTTCATCCCTTGAAAATCCTTTTCAACTTCCAACTTATTTTCATACATAAACAACATTGTCCAAGGTCATTTGGTATCATTAAGTCACAAATTTAAACCAATTCTAAAATAAAATATTCAAACAATTTCCTTACCTTTACAATATAGTAAGATTCGGTCAAAATAGGAAAACCCATCCCTTTAGGATTTCTCCTATTATTATTATTATACACATACTACATATGTTATTATCCTTGTTTAGCATTATTATTACAACAAAATAATGAACCATTTATTGTTTTTCACTTTTTTCTCGTGCAATTAAACATATGCAACAAACCTTAACAATTAGTATTCTTATATCATTATCACAACAATAATTTTACCCTACTAATTGGAATCTATGACAATCTTCATTAACTAATCAATTTGTCAAAAATACTTATGGCTAGCCTTAAATATGTTTTATTTCCAAATTTTTTTCATTTCAATTTCTTTATGGCTCCACCATATTTATATCCACACAACCAACAAATTAGCTTTTTGTTTAATCAACATGTTCATATAGCAATATCCCTTCCTATTCTTACATCATAATCATTATTTCCCTCATATAAAAAATACATAATTAATCTATAATAATAATAATAGCATGAACATATTTTACCATTACGTCTTCCATACACTGTAACACCTATAAAATTTTAATTTCATCAAAACATGTATTTAATCAAGTTTCCTAAATTTTACCAAAACTAGCAATAGATTCAAAAGACAATAAGTTATCCACTTCAGATTTTATTTTTGAACCCAACAATCAGAATATAGAGCCTAGAGTTATGCACAATATATCTCAAAATCAAAATGATCCAATGGTCAGATCTCCCTAGATCTAAGTAAAACCGAGCTAACATGAAAATTAACGAGCTACTGTTCAACATGAACGACACCTTGTCGAAGAGTGTGTTTCCAGTCTCCATCATCTAGAAGGAAGGCAATATCTAGGCGCACTACATATAAAAAAATAGACATATTCCAATAGTGAAAAAGAAAGAAATCGATCAACGATCAAAGCTGCCCTGTAGGTGTAATTTCCTTTTGTTTTCCAGGAAATTTCCGATGATTATTTCTGTCAAACGAATATTGTGCTTTCAAATCCCTCTGGTCAGGTAGTAGAGGAATGTGAGAAGAACAATATATCAAAAACTCAGAACGATTCAATGGTAGCCGCCAGAGATATGGCCACCGAAGCATTATTGGCTCCTTCAAATTCTACACTTCTCTCTCTAGCCAAATTTTTTTTATTGTCTCACTTTTTTTTTTTGACTAATGGCCTCTTTGCTGGTTTAAAGACATATTTTCCATTAATTATAATTTTGTCCCTCATTTATGCCTTTATGTATTTTATTTTATTTTTCACATAAACTATCCAGTTTGTTTTTACTTAAATCGTTAGTCTTTACCGAACTGCAATTGGGATGAGATCTTTAACCAAGGTAGGAAAACATATTAATAGATTTCATGCAAAATTGCATCCTGATCTGACGATTGGATTGAGAACTCTGCTTTCTAATGTAAAATTGGTTAGTTTCTAACTTTTCGTCAATAATCAAAATTTTCTTATTCAATCTTCATATAAAATCATATTAATTATTCTTCTAAACCTTTAAGGTTATTTTATTATTTTAGAATATCTTCATATTAAAATTTTCATTTTTATTTATTTTTGAGGCTTGTTACCATTTTAAAGTAACGTCATTGATTTTTAATTGGTGCTTATACCTTCCATCCTATCATTTTAATTGCACTATCCTTTATTATAATTTATTTTTTATTACCTCACTTATTCTTTAAAAAGATTTTATCCATCAAGACGAGTTACTAGCTTCTTTATCATTATGAATTCTAAATTAAAATTCATTTTATAAAAATCATCCCCTTTATTATATATCATTATTTATCTACTATTTTTTATTTTAATTTCTACCACTCATTAAAATCATATTACTTTCAGTTTTATATTTACATAAGAATTTATATATCTACATGTTTAAATTATAAATTTTTAAGATTTCACAACGCCTATCAGCTTGAAGGCATGTAGGCTTGACTGTTAAAAACATATTGTTCATATATATAATTATAATTAAAAAACTAGTTAACGATGTTTTTTGTTGGATAGGACATATATAATAATAATAATAATAATAATAATAATAATAATAATAATAATAATAATAATAATAATGGCCATGTATGTTTTAATGATCCTTGTGTGTTTTATTTGTGATGGCCTGTGGCATTTATTTCTGCGTATTTTGACCTCAACCCAACTTTAAGGACAGAAAGTTTGAGAAAAACTGATTCACTTTTGTACAAACTGTCATGTACACAGCATGGTGTCAACCACTTTTGAAGGAAGTGCAGAATCTGTTTATCCTAATCTGCAGCATGCTAATCACCAGAAACCCCTTAAATGCATTCACCAAGTTTACAAAGCATAAGAAACTGGACCAACCCATCATCCTGTTCATGCTCATCATCTGTGTGAATTATGATGCTTTGAGACAAAACCACAGACGAAGCCATTCGAAAGAAAAGATCCAAGAGAAGCAAACAAGCACCCACCACTGTAAACTACAGAAACAGGGGAAAGGCAGAGAAAGATAAGAAAACAAGGGAAAGGCAATACATAAACAAATGAAAGGCCTGCAAAGAAGTAAGGGGACGACTAGATCAATTGAATAACAACACCATCGCAGAGGTAGCCGCATTTAAATTGATCGAAAAGCCAATGAACAAAAGAAAAGACAACAACCACCAAAGAAAAATGTAAAGATGGGCGGTAGACCTTTTTTCCTAGGATTGATTGAAAAGAAAATTGATGAGAAAGAAAACTGAAATAATACACTGCATTCTTTCGCTTCAATGTATAAATGATCTAGTTCTTGCATAACAACAGCCAAACATCTGTATGTGATGCGATCCCTTCGTCTACAAATGGTCACTTTCTTCTCATACTTAATGCCACGACGCAACACCTCAGCCCTGTCAGAAGCTACAAAGACAAGAATCTCCAGAAGTGAAACCACTTTCTATTTCCTGTCCAAACATATGAAATAAAAAAATTTATTAAGACATCAATCATGTGTAATCACTTTTCATATAGGAAGCATATATATCGAGAACACTATGCTTAAAAAATTTGTAATTCTTGCCAATAAAAAAATGTGGCAAAATTTATATAATATGCCTAGCAAAACAAGCTATTATATTCTCAGTTCTCTTTTTTTAAAGTGAAATGGAAGAATGGAGCCTGCTGGAAAACAGGGAGAACCGGATTGACCCAACTCTACAATCTCCCCACCCTAGTAAACTGGTGAGAAAGGGAAATAAGCAAAAAAAACAAAGTTACCAAATCACCGAAGGGAAGAAAACATTGAAAAAGAAAAGGGCTACTAAAAATTTCAGCAAGCTTTGAGCCATTGTAGGTGCACACACTCTCTATCCCTCACATATGTGCACACACATGCACAGTCATCCATTTCCAAACATAATCACAAATGGACACACATGTGTTCAATTGGAATGCATCATGAAGTAGGCAGCTTAAGAATTTACATGTCACAAATGTAGTTAACAAGCCACAAAACAAGGATTTTTTGTATGTACTATTTACATCAATAAAAAGCTTACAAAGAAGTTAACTGTACAGTTAAGAATGTGAGGAGACTCAGCACATGCGGCCATGTCAATACATTTTCACCTGATATTGATTCCACAGATGGCTCTTCAAATGCACACTGTTTTGCTAATGGCAACATGGCAGACACTGCAACCAAAAACAACTGTAAGTCCACAAATATCATCCCAAATCCTCATGCAGACATGTACTTTCTTAAAAAGCTCCATGTAAACGTAATACTCACTATTGATTCCATAAACGTTTTGCCAAAAATCAATGCTTTCACCATATCTGTCTGGATGTGTGACAGTTGCCATGTACAACTAAGCAGTATTTAGAGGATATCAGCATTACAAACACACGTGCTTGATTCACAAGTATGAAACCACATATTTTCCAAGCAGGATTCTGCTGAATATTTAACCTAACTACATAATGTAATGAAAGCAGAAAAGGATTAAGTCCACATGATGCTGTGGTATAAGAAAACTTGCCAAGCAGGAAGATAATTTACAGTTGCATTTGATGGAAGAATAAGGCCTCCATGCTTCAGCCAGTGATCTCTGGCAGTGATGACACTTCCCAGCATGCTCTACAAATCAAGAGAAAAAGTCCTCTAGATGGTAAACATTGCATGTGATATGGCAATAAGGGGGGAGGGGAGCACACCTGTGCACAAAAGGTTCGATACCATAATGTCATGCCCATACCATAATATAAGACAAACCATTATCTCACATTCTATAAGATAAGCTATTCTTGACTAATAATTTGTGAATTTTGTCTTGTATTTATTAAAGCTTGCAATTTCAGATGCAAGATGGGGACAAAATATTTTGTCGTTATTGCATTTTTCTGTGAATCAATTATGTGCAGGAGTAAAATTTAAAGGATACTGATTTTAGAATACTAATTTGTATAATATGCACACTACTGATCATGTTATGTGATATTGCGAATGTTCTTTTCATTTTGACTAATGAACACCATTAGACACATCAACATCTCTTTC